ATGTAACGAACTCCATCCATGGTTGTCCATCAGGGACGGATCTGCTCCTCTTTTAATCAGACCCTTCACCGCTTGAACGTTGCCATTCCCAACAGCAATCATTAGGGGCGTTCAGCCCATTGCGTCTTTGGAGGCAACAGAAAATCCTAAAATCAGATAAATTGAAAAGATATTAAGACAGATAACATAAGCAAAGAGAGTGGACAAGGTGGGAGAGCAATGTTTGAAAAAAACATTTAAACTAGTGAGCAGCACTATGCGAGCAGTTGTAAAACTTCTTTATCCTCCGACATGTTTCGTCTGACTGTCGTTAACTTATTCTAGGAGTTTTACTTTCTATGAGATCTAACTCACCAGTTTTCAGTATTCAAGTGACTATTCCGGTGCATTACTCAAGTATTCAAATTCATCAGCTCTTACATCACTAGTGCACTTCCACTATAGACGTAAACGGCTGTTTTGAGAGAGGTTGTTGGAAAAAAACACAAACAAACAAACAAACAGACAGACAATCTCGAAAGGTGATATTGGTATCTGATAATCAGTGGATTTAAATGTGAAAAAATAAATCAATGCGCTCAACGCGCTTCGTCATTACAGTGACGTTTCCCTAGATTTCCCAGAAATTGTGAGGTCAGGGAACCGTCACTTAAAATCTACCCACAATTCGATTCAAAGTTGTCACGTGAACTTGTACGCTTTTTCCCGACAACCTTTCTTGAAACAGCAGTATATACTCCTTATTGTACTTCAGCCCAGAGACTTCAGGAGACGAAATAAGATTATCTTTACTCCACCTGAGCCGAATGAATAGTTTTGTTGACTCACCGTTATCTACGTGACTCAGCAGTAAGTCAAGAACTTCTGAGCCACGTGATGAGGCATGAGATAAAAAATCCCGACCGGAATTATCCTTAGTTAAAGGATTGGCTCCCCTCTCAAGGAGATACTTTACACCTTGCAGCTTGCCAAAACGAACAGCAATGATTAGAGGAGTAGTACCGTCAGCGGTTTTTGACTCAATGTCCGGTACGTGAGTGAGGATAAGATCAATGATATCAGGGTCTCCATTTTTTGCGGCAAAATGTAACGAATTCCATCCGTCGTAGCTCATCAGGGACGGATCTGCTCCTCTCTTAATCAGACTCTTCATCGCTTGGACGTTGCTATTCAAAGCAGCATTCATTAGGGGTGTTCTCCCTGTTTCGTCTCTGGAATCAACAGAAAATCCTAAAATCAAGCAAATCGAAAAAAGAAAAAAAATTAAGACAGCCAACATTAGCTGATAAGGAGGTCGAAGTGCGAGAGCAATTAAAAAAAGAAATTTAACTAGTAAGCAGCACTATGCGAGCTGTAGTTGTCAAAAACTTCTATATCCTTCGATGCGTTTCCTCTTACTGTAATAGACTTCTTCAAGGGGTTTTACAAGTTAACACAAAGCGCCTCTATGTAACTGATTCAATTCCTTGTTGTCCTCGATCGCAGAAGTGCCGTATAAAATCAGATAATGTGAAAATAAATTTAAAAAAGGCATCAAACTCTAAGCGGGAGGCACACACATGAGATTTATAATGAAACTAGTACCTTTGGAGGAAAATTAAGTAACACAAAAACTTGTAATATTAAAAACAATAATAATAATGATTTAAAAGATTTAGAGCGAGTGAGAGGGTATTAATGCGATAACTGCTTTTACGGCTAATGGTTAAAATTTTAGCCAAGTGACGGCCAACACCATTCAGTTGATGTCATCAGAAACTGCTTTTTCGTCTAACTTTTTTTTACGACTAACGGTTAAAAGTCGTCGATTCTAAAGCCCAACGGTTGAATGTTTTGGCCGTTTTACGGTTAATGGTTAACCCCATTGAGATCCTAGGGTAAACGTTTTAGTTATTTAACTGTTATCAAAGTGGGCCTTGTTAATAAAACATATATTTATTGTTTAGTTGAATTGCATTATCGACAAATCCAGATTAGGTTGTATTACACATTTTGATCTTATGTTCGCGAATTTTTTCCCTAAACTAATAGAAGTTGGTTGTATTGTTGTTTTAGTATGCGGTTAAATCTTGATCGATGATAACTATTTCAAATTTTGGTTGTGCTTCTTCGTCAATACATTTAAATCACCGTTAACAGTCAATCTCATCGGTAATACGTGATTCTCTCGATATTCAACTCTGTAAAATAGTG